TTAGAGATTTCTTTTTAAAGATTTTTTTGAAAAAAGATTTAAAAAACTATGTTAGCTAGAGAGGTCAATCTTGAAAACAGGAAGTCTTATGCATATACTAATAGTAGTACCATGGATAAGTCACTTAATTTTTTAGTGCCCCAGGCAATTCCCTAAAACTATAAAGTAGGGACAAGGTATTGATCTACATTGGTGGAAAGAACTTCCTATACCAACATCACAGATCCAGAATAAAAAAACTGCATCATCTAACTTTTTTATGTATTTATACATATATAAAGTGTTCTTCGGTTTCAAAATTTCTGGAAATGTTTAAGCCATTGATAATTACATCTTTCTTCTAATCTGTTTCGGAAGGCTGGATCGAACTAAACTAACCAAGGCATCCTCTTCATCTCTGAGCACACTAGCAATCCCTATGAGGTCACCTACCCATGAATCCTGAGAAAGCCTGGACCTTATAGTGGGGAAGCTCCCATTAAGCATTTTAATGAAATTTAAAATGCTTAAATTCCCACAGGCAAAAGAACTCTCAGTTGGCTTGCTCTCATGCTGGGCTCTTCACCTTTCTACTTTCTAGGATTCACAGCCAACAAACCAGGCCTCTGAATTTTGAGACCCCTCCTTCCCAGCCATTTTCAGTGCTAGTTTCTTATCTTCCTTCTTAGAACTCTGGCTCCCCATCTTCTCCAGCTTCACAGTGAACATGTCACCATATATTTCTGAGGCTTTAGCGACTGAAATTTCATTAATGAGATGTCTCATGATGTAAAACTTACCTACAACTCCACCAATTCTACCACTGTTTCCAGGTATCCTAACAATAGGATGTTTCTATTCATCCTGCTCCTTGACAAGTAGATACCATAAGTCAGGGAGGTAGGAAGCAGAACTCTGAAGAAAATGCAAGTGGGAGAATCACATAAATACCACTGAACAGGTCAAAGTAAGAAGTCAAGTTAGGCATAAAAGATTAGACAGGTGGCACAGAGACAGTCCAAAAGGTCAGAGTTAGAGATAACCAGTCAAGGGGAGAGACAACTCCAAAGTGAGTTCTTATCTTAGGACAGTCTTTTTTTTGCTCTCTGCCCCATTTTATGTACCTAGTGGGCGTGGACAATACACAACCCACAGATGTTAATCATATCTAGAATGCCAGTGGACTAAAGTAAACAGTATCTCTACTTGAGCAGGGTTAGAAAGATTAGAATTGTCAGTCAATACACATTTATTAAGAGCCTACTATGAACCAGGCACTGTGCTAAGTGCTAGAGATACAAACAGAGGGGCCCCCCCCAAAAAAAGTCCCTGCCCTCAAGGAGCTCACAATCTAATGGGGGAGGGGAACAAGCAAAGAAATACACACAAATAAGCTATATACAGGATAAGTAGGAAATAATTAAAAGAAGGAAGGCACTAGAATTCAGAAGGATTTTGAAAGGTTTCCTCTAGAAGAGGAGATTTTAGTTGGTACTTGAAGGAAGTCAGGGAAGTCTGAAGACAGAGATGAAGAAAGAGAATATGGGAGATAGCCAGAAAAAAATTATCAGAATTGAAGAGGTAGAATGTCTTCACTAGAGCAAAGAGTATGGTGGTGGGGAGTAAAGTTTAAGAAGACTGGAAATGATGGGAGGTAGCTAGGTTATGAAGGGATTTGAAAATGAAATCGAGAATTTTGTTTGATCCTGGAGGCAATAGAATGCCATTGAAATTTATTGAGTAGGGAGGTGACATGATTGGACTTGAACTTCAGGAAAATCACTTTGGCAGATGAATGGAGCACAGATTAAAGAGGAGAGAGCCTTGAGGCAGGCAAACCAACCAGCAGATTACTTCAATAGTCTAAGTATGAGGTAATGAGGGCTTGCACCATAGTGGTGGCAAGGTCAGAAGAGAGAAGATGGTATACATGAGAGATGTTGCAAAGGTCAAATCAGTAAGGCTTTGACAACAGATTGGATATGGGGGAAGAGAGAGAGAGTGAAAAGTTGATGATGACACCTAGGTTGGGAGCCTGAGGAACTGAGAGAATGGAGTTGCTCTCAACAGTAATAGGGAAGTTAGGAAGTGAGATGGTTTATAGGGAAAGATAAAATGGAATTATGTCCAATGGTGGCAAAAAAATTGGAATTGGAAACTGAGGAGATGCCTGGTTGTTTGGGAAATGGCTGAACAAATTATGGTCTATGAATGTGATGGAATACTGTAAGAAATGATAAAGGGGGTGGTTTTAGAAAAATCTGGGAAGACATGTTGCAAAGTTGATGCTAAGTGAAATTAGAAGAACAAAAAGAACAATTCACATAGTAACAGCAATACTGTAAAGATAATCAACTTTGAAAGAATTAGTAACTCTGATCAACATAATGACCAATCACATCTCCAAAGGACTCATGAAGAAACATGCTATCCACCTCCAGACAGAAAGCTGGTGGACTCAGAGTGCAAACTAAAGCATATTTTCTTCTCTTTGTCTCTTTTTTTTTGGGCCAAGGCTAATGTAGGGATTTGTTTCTCTTGTCTTCTCAAAGGGTGGAGAAGAGGAAAGGTGGAGGAAGATAATTCGGAACTAAAAATAAAATAAGATTTAATTTTAAAAAATACTACCATGCTAGAACTGTTTTAAAGAAGAATCCAAGGCGACAGCTAGGCTGCGCAGTGGATAGAGCACCGGCCCTGAAGTCAGGAAGACCTGAGTTCAAATTCGGCCTCAGACCAAACACTTGACACTTACTAGCTGTGTGATCCTGGGCAAGTCACTTAACTCCAATCGCCAGAAGAAGAAGAAGAAGACGAAGACGAAGACGAAGACGAAGACGAAGACGAAGAAGAAGAAGAAGAAGAAGAAGAAGAAGAAGAAGAAGAAGAAGAAGAAGAAGAAGAAGAAGAAGAAGGAGAAGGAGAAGGAGAAGAAGGAGAAGAAAGAGAAGAAGGAGAAGAAGAATCCAAGAGCAGATCAAACATGTCTGTTCTCTAAGGATCAGTTTAGTTTGGAGAGGATCGCCACCAGGCTGGCTGACAGGTGATGAATTTTTTCGGCACAGCAACTCTTAAAAGTCATTTACTAAGTTGCAAAGGGGTTTTGATCTGAGATGGTGGAGTATCCTTCTCCAACCCCTACACAAGGACACTTTAGCAGCACTGAAATACAATGTTGCACCATTATTGTACACATCATTAAATGTCTTAACTTTTATTTTTATAAATGATAAGTGGTTACAACACTAAGCTCACCTTGCCCTATGTGCAGTGTTTCCTCACCCCAATTTTAAAAAAATGAAAAAGAACATACCACCAATCTGACATACATTAATATTATGTCCCAAAACCATAACTGTCTATTAATTACCTCAGTGTCAAGGTCCTGATGAATCCAATGACTTCTCCAATTTTTATTTAGCTCTTAGGTCACTTATGCTCCTCTTTACTTCTCAATCACTCAGAATTAAAGGTAAAAAGATCATTTTTCCTTCCTCAGGGAGGTGGTTATGAACCTCCACTAGAGTTCCACTCAGCAAGTTGAGCAGAAATACCAGCATCATTTAGGGGAGGTACCATGGCTGTACACCTCAAAAGTAGACAAGTTTAAGAAGGAAAAAAAAAAAACACATCCCATCTCGTTGGTAAAAATCTATGACATATTCTTTCCAAAACAGACTAGGATTCCATTAATTTTTCATTTGGGGTCAGCCTGGTCCTATCTTCTCCTCCTCCAAAGCTCTCTTCCTGAGTTTAAGCCTTCTCTCTTCACTCCTCCATAATCATCCAAGGCAAGGTTGATGGCCTTGGATTATTCCCTAGCCTTTTCCTCTCATATCCAATTAGTTGCCAGATCCTCTTGATTTTACCCCCTCTCTCACATCATTGCCACCTCTTCATTCATTCCATTGCCATTCTAACATATTACCTCCCACCTACACTTTTCCTAGAATGTTTCCCTTGCATGCACCCTCTCCTTATTCCAACCCATATTCCACTCTGCTTCCCAGTAAATCTTCCGCATGCATAGATCTGATCATATCACATCTAAAATCCTCAATAAATCCCTGAGTATTGAATAGAGTTCAAATTCATTAGTCTAGAATCCAAGGCCCTTCACAGTCTAGGATTATCCTACCTTTCCAAACTGATTTTGTACTATTCCGTCTACTATCTCATGCCAACCTACACACCCTGTATTCCCTTGCTCAAGTCTCTCATGCTTTAAAAACTCTAACCATCTTTGCCTATTAAAATACTTTCAAGAACCAATTCAAATGATATCGCTTTCATGGATCCTGCCTAAATTGTGACCCTCCCCCTCCCTCCCAATATGAAAACCTTTCTCTTTGTTCTTCATATACCACTTTGTTTATACCAATAATATATTTTATCCTGCGGAGTGATTATTTGTGTATGTGTGTGTTCTCTTAGACTGTAAGTTTCATGAAGGCAGAGAATATATTTTATTCATATTTGTATACCCCAGTAGCTAACAAAGAGCTCTGCATACAGTAGCTGCTTAATAAGTAGGTCTTGAATTAAATTGGAAGGGGCTGCCTCCCACATCAGCCATTCATTCACCTTTTCAACCACTTGCCCTACCAGTCCCATCACAGGACAGCACACCAGCTGAAATGCTACTAAAACTGTCACCATTACCACAGTGATTGTCAGAGAAAAAAACAGGTTTTTTTATACCTAGTATTTATCTATCCAAAAAACTATTTATGTCCTAGATGCACCCCTTTCTCCTGCCTAGTATCCCATAGTTCTTCCCCTTTTCTAGAACCCTACCCCATCTAAAATCTTCTATACCTGGAACCTTCATTCTAGAAGTTTCCTTGCTCATTGGCATAACTCTGCCTTTGACCTTTGAGATGGGAAACCAGTAAGACTCACCAAACAGGATTCTGCTCCTCCTCATAAAAAACCTGAACTGTCCTGATGCATACAGCAAAGACGAACCCAAGAATTTCAGTGAGAGCTTGAGGTAATGGTGTACCAAGACCTGGCAGCCTCTCAACACCATAAAGGATTTCTTCCTTCTGCCACGGCCTGAAATCATTATGACCAACGCTTCCTAATGATATCCTTGGTTGTATGCCTGTTTCTCAGTCTTGTTTTACAGGGTTTGGTCCAAGTCTCTGAGGGAGGGGTGGGGTAGAAGGAAGAATTGTGTTGCCCTAGTCCCCTCTCCTTATTACCCTTGCCTGTCCTGATTTGGAAGTGTCAGCTATGGCATCAGTTGGGGGGAGGGAGAAGAAGGTGTTGTGCTGACCTAGACCCCTTTCTTTATTGTACTTGTCTCCTCTGTGTTCCCAGGGTGTCTCCACTTAAGCCACAAAGACTTCTCTCAAATGTGCCAAATCAAAGGGCCTACTGCTTACAGTGCTGACTAAGCTGTTTAATTCTTTGGCAATGTTCCTCTGAGACCCAGCAACAGATTCCCAGTAAGAACCAACCATCTATCTGATTTTCTGAGTTTACCTGATTTTTATGAATGTGAGTTTCTGAGTTGATTCCATTTGTAACCAATGCCTAGGTGAATAAGAAACATGTCAAAATACAACCACAAGCAGCTTTTAACCAGCAACATTTTGGTAAAGGTTTTGTCACTATTTCCTGACATGGCCTAACTCATCCTATCATATTTCTTACTCCTACATTCCACAGAGAGACAAAAGTTCAGTAGGTTCCTTTCCCAGAAAGTTGTACTCTCCCAGGACTAACCTGTCCTCAGCTCAGCCTCCAACTTTAACACAATTACTTCAATTACTTCTTCGAGGCTGGAATTAAAGGCACTTGACTAAAGAATGCTGACCTACATTTTCTAGGAAATTTATATACTTTGATCTCTATGCTGACATCCTATACTGTCCTGGAAACATGGGTACCTGTCTCCACAGAGATCAGTTTACTTGAGTTTAGTGACTATAGGATTCTCAGGGTCACAGGTCTATTTTCATCATCTCCAATTTTTTTTGTTTGTTTTTGGATCATATCACTATTTTACTTTATAGAACAAAATGCAGATGCAGAGGGAAAGAAATAAATAATTTCCTTGTGCCCAAGAACTTCTTTGTTTCTGTCTGAAAGGCAGCCCAGAATGGATAGCCTACAAGACATGGCAGTCCAGAAGACCTAGGTACAAATACATTTCTGACCTTCACTATAACCATCTAGGAAATCTGGCAGTGAAGATGTTACTTAGTCCACACTTCCAGACATATGGTCTGGTCACTCATTTTCCTAATTTATGTGAGAGTGGCTATGAAGAGACTAGGTATTTTTAGTTACAGGATCACAGAGGGGGTTCAGAGGATCATAGATATAAAGCTGGAAGGGACCTGAGAAAACACCTCATTCTATAACCGAGGCCCAAAATGAGTGACTTGCACAAGATGAAGCAGATTGTTAAGTCACAGAAGTAGATTTTGAACCCAGATCCCCTGATATCAACTTCAGTGTTCTTTTCTAGATGAGCCAACCAGCTTTAAATCTATGATCTCCTATACCACTCAAGTCAGGAAGCATTTATTAAGCACCTACTATGTGCTACCCATTATATCAGATGCTAAGAATCCAAAACCAAAAACAGTCCTTGCCCTAAAGAAGCTTACATTCTATTGAGGGACAGTTTGTACATATAATTTATATAAACTAAAAGATAATTTGGCAGGGGAAAGCACTTAGGAGAACAGAGGGTACAAATAAGATTCAAAGCTTTTGTTCCCTTGTCAGCAATAGCTGCTCTCTAGTTTTTCCCCTTTCCCCCACAGGCTAATGCCTGTGACCAATGTCAAGTAAGCTGAGAATTGAAAGAGACCAACCCTCGAATCTAACAATTACCTTAGCAGGAATACTGTCTACAACATTTCTGACAAATGATGACCTAGACTTGTACATTTATGGACCTTTAGCAAAGGGATGCCTGGTCTACTTTCAGATACCTCTCATTGTTAGCAAGGTTTTTACTTACATCAATCCTCAAACTACCTTTTTTTCAACTTCTATCCAGTGATCTTAATTGTGCTCTCTGGAACCAAGCAGCCATCAAATCCTTCAAAAACAGCTATCATATCCTCACCTGAATCTACACTTCTGTTAATATTCTTGAGCTAGTATTATCAGGCAACCTGAGATAATAAGTATGCATTTAATGCAAAACAATAAGAGACCACTGACCAATGACCAAGTGAGTCAGGCAAACTGAAGAAACTGATTTAGGAATATGTTTGAGGACAACAGACCAGGGCAAAAAACATAGGAGACCAAGGATCCACCTAGAATGTGGATTCTTAACCTTTCTTGTGTCCTGGACCCATTTGGTGAAGCCAATGAACCCGTTCTCAGAATGCTTCTAAATACATAAAATAAAATAAATAGCATACAAAGGAAACCAATAATATTGAAATACAGTTATCAAAATATTTTTAAAAGTTCAGGGACCGCAGATTTAGAAAACAGGAAGGACTGACTGAAGAGTAAGGGAAGTGAGCTGAAGAGGTTGAAAGAGCAGTGTGTTCCCATTACCCAGGAAAGGGCATCTGCACTTAAAAGCCAAGAAGACTGCAGAGAATAGTACGTTCCTTTAATAACTTCAAAGATTTTTCTACAGATATACAGCTAATAAAGTCACCCAAACAGATTTAAGTTCAACTGTGATCAAACACAAAATCCATAACAGTATTTACAACCATTTAATATAGATAAGTTTGAAGAGTTTCAAATGGATCAGTGATACCATTGATGATGATATTCCCTCCAATGTTAAAAATAGAAACCCAACCATTCCTGTCATTCTGAGCAATTCCCAACCAGGCTTCCCAAATTTTCCAACGGGGGTCCACCTAAAATGCTAAATGGCTTTTATTTTGTCTGATGTCTCAAGGATGCCAGTGGAGCACTCAAGCTAGCCACTTGCCATCCCTCATTCTTGCACATGACCAGCCCCTCTTTTCTTTCTAATACATGTACCTAATGGCATCTTTTACTTCTGTTCTTCAAAGTTCCTTAGTGGTTATATGTTAGAGCCTGTTCACACTCATGTAGCTCTCCATGGGCTTCATTCAGCATATTACTAATTTTCAATTCTTTGGAGACTGTTATGATCCAGGTCTCAAAGTTATTTAAAAACACTAGTAATATGCTGCTGGTATTAAAAAATATGGGCCTTAGTTTCCAGGGGAATTATGGAGTCATTAAAGGAGCTTTACAATTTTCTGAAGGCAATCAGGTCTCATTTCTGATAGTTATTAAAAAATATGGATTTTCTCAATACAGTACCTAGTTATTCTCTGCCAGGTACTTAAGGTAGGCTCTTATAACTTAACTAAAGTCTTGTTCCTTACTGTTGGGAACCAACATCTCTATTACAAGGGTTATTTGTCTCTAAATTCCTATTTGATCTGAAAATCTTCCTCCATGATACCCCATTTATCTTCATCCTTAGTTCCAAAAGTTGGTCCTTTATCTCTGTCCACAGGTAATGTTCACAGGCCCTACCTGAAGATGTATAGGGTGTTAAGCAGCAAGTAAAACTCATCAATATTTTCTAATTGGTGATATAGTATATGAATATTATCAATTACAGTGATACTGAATTCCATTCACCAAAGAGGTAATTTCCCCCCCACCTCCTCTGCCATCTCTCCATCCACCTCAACCCTATATTTCCAATAACACACGCCATATCTCTGCCTACCTCTTAATTCCCACCCCATATTTAACAAAATTCCCTTTATTTTAGACCTCTTTTTCTTGTGGTCCTTCCATCTTCTGGTTCTCACAGAGAACTGACATCCTCCTCCTACCTGCACTGCCTCAGATGACACTAGCATACCTGGCCATTCTTTCTAAAACTTCTTGAGCCTTCTCTCATATTCTCTACCATCCCCCAACACAATGGTCCTAAAAAGAAAGGCAGAATATACCTAGCTACCCACTGCCATTTCTAGATCCTCCTTCTGCCACCATCACTCAGTAACTTCTCCTCTTCTGATCTTTATGGTATCCCAATTTATCACCAAATCCCTATCAGGGTGGCTGTAATCTATCAACTTCCAAGAAATTCTTTCTTTCCCAAGCAGTTTAGTACCTGGTTAAGAGTTTTCCTCACAAGATCAACTGCCACCCTTCTACTAGGGATTTAAGCATACATATTAATATTCCCTCAAATGCTTCTACCTTCCAGTTCCTCAATCTGCTCAGTTCCTATAACCCATTCCTCCTTTGCACTTCAGTGATGAAGGACAATGGTATTAGTCTTGATCTCTCCACTACAAACAAACGTTCCACCTCCCTGATCAAGAACTTTGAAATTCAGGGGCAGCTAGGTGGCCCAGTGGAAAGATCACCGACCTTGAAGTCAGGAGGACCTGAGTTCAAATCTGACCTCAGACCAAACACTTGTCACTTACTAGCTGTATTGACCCTGGGCAAGCCACTTAACCCTAACTGCCTAAAAAAAAAAGAACTTCGAAATTCCTTTATCTGATCATGATTCTATCATTCTATCCATCCAACATTCTCTCTTGCCCTATATCTTACTCTTTCAAAACCTATTTCTTGTATTCACCATGATCTCTATTTGTTCCACCCCTCAGTGCTTTCTCAGGTCATCATTAACTCTAGCACTCTTTTCCTTCCTTCCTAGTCTAAACTGTTTAGTTGCCCAGTTCAATTCTATATTAACCTCTACTCTTTAGTCCTTAGGTCCTAGTTCCATTGCCTTTCAAGCATTATCAAACCCAAACCCTGGATTACTGTCACTATTTGCTTCCTTTTTTCCTTTTGCTACTAAATAGAGCTGGAAAGTCACACAAATGGTGCTGAACAGCATTTATTATACATTTATGTTATCTAATATCAACTGGATCCTCACTACAGCAAGGTAATCATTTTATTCTAATTGACTCCCTATTTCCCTCCCCACAGTGGCTTTCTCATGCCTTCTCTTCTCTCTTAAGGCTCCCACACCTCCTTCTTTCCACTCACAGCTGAAGACCTTGCCTCTTACTTTGCTAAGGAAAGCTGATGTCATTAGTCATGATCTCTCTTCAACTCAAAACCCCCATCTCCTCCTTTATTCCAATCTCTGATGAAGAGGTAGCTCTTCTTACCAAGATCAACCTCTCTACCTGTACTCTAGATTCCATTCCCTCCTGAATTCTCCAGCAGATTGCTCTATCATACCTCACTCCTTAATCTTCAATGTCTCCCTATCTAATGGTTCTTTCCCAAACAACTACAGGCATGCCCAAGCCTCCCCTACCCTTAAAAAAAAAAAAAGACCCTCACTAGCCTCAGTCATGCCTGAAAGATATAATCCTATATCTTTGTTCCCTCTTCTCTCTTCTGGTGATCTCACTGGTTTTCATGGGTTCAGTTATCTCTAAGCAGGAATCTCACAGATCTAATCTTCCTCCTGAGTCCCAGTTTCTCATTGGACCTTTACAACTGGATATCTTATAAACATCTCAAAATCTTAACATTTGAAACTATTTCATCATCCTTATAACTAAGAGATACAGCAGATAAAGTGTCAGAGTTGAAATCAGGAAGACTGATTTGAATCTTGCCTCAGACATAGACAAGCTATTTGAATTTATGCAAATCATTTAACCTCTCCACCTCAGTTTCCTCATCTGTAAAATGGAGATAACAGTAGCAGGTATCTCACAGGGTTGTTCTGAGGATCAAATGAGAAAGCATTTCTAATGTACCAAGAAAATCTTAAAATCCAATACATTAGCTGTTATTATTTCCACCTAAAACTCACCCTTCTGAACTTCCCTGTTTCTGTAACAGGCACCACCATCATTCCAGTCCCTCTGGTTCATAACCACTGTGTAATCCTTGACTTCTCCCTGTCCACTCAGTTGCTAAATTTTATAATTTCTACCTTCAGGATATCTCTTGAATTCATCATCTTCTTGCCACTTCCAAAGCTACCAAGAAACTCAAACTCTCACCACCTCTTGCCAAGACTATTATAATAGTCTCCAAATGGTTTCCCTACCTTGTTTTTCCCTCCTAATTCATCCTTCCCACAGTTGAAAAACTAATTTTCCTAAAATGTAAATCTGACCATGCTTTTTTATATCCCCAGCAAATGACACAGTACCTGGAACATTCAATAAATGGGTATAAATGGGTGTCTCTTCAGTGGTTCCCTATCACTCCAGAATCAAATACAGTGATCTTATTTGGCATTTAAAACCCCTTCACAATTTGACCCCACCCTACTACCACAGCCTTAGGTGACAGCATTCCTCTCCAGGCATATTGCAATCTAGCCAAATAGACATTCTTGTGGTTCCTTACACACAGTTATCTGCAGCCTTTGCACAAGCCTTTACCTAGAATTCACTCACTTTTCACCTTCATCTTTCAGAAGCCTTAATTAACTTTGAGGCTTAGCTCAAGTACCACCTTCCACCTGAGGGCTTTCCTGATCTCCACAGGGGTTGGTGACACCTTCTCAAAAAGCACTTTGTTTCTGTATTGTATATGCATATCTAGATAAGTACCGGTCTTTCCAGGCTAGACTGAAAGCTCCTGGGGGGAAGAGATTTTTTTCATTTCGGCTAGTGACTAGCAGAGCACCAGGCACATAGTAGGTATTTACTTGATGACTGACTGACAATACTTGGTTTATCCTTCTTGCCAGGTTTCACCATCCAGGATATTTTACCACAGAACCAGCTCACAGCAGCACATAAGCTAATGAAGAAACGGTGATTCTCAAGTAAGGTTAGGAGTTACCGCTGGTTTGGTGAGGGAATGAGGAAAGAAAGAGGAGGAAAAAAAATAAGTTGTCGTTGGTCTGAGAAAACTGAATTTCCCCTTCTCCCCCTCCTAGTGATGAGGATGGGATCTAGACCCCAGAAAGGAAAAACCCTGGACTTTCCCACAAGGCCAAATCTCTGGCGTTCCCCTGAGGCTATAATCCCATCAACTGGCCTTTCATTGTGGCTACACCCAATCTCCCCTCCATTGTCTTACCTCCCTATGGCCCCGGGCCATCTCCCACACTTAATCCTAGCTAGGCTCCATTCTCCCTTGGCCACATGGTCCACAATGTTTCCCTCAGCCCCACCCCCACCCCAGACTACTTGGCCACTCCTAGATTTCTCCCACAGTCTTTCTGTACATAAGGTCCATCTTGCCTCCATTAAGGTGTTTAGATTCTTAAAATCTAGCTACTGCTCAGATTTTTACAATCTAGCCAATAGCTCACTAACATTCAGATTCCTTAAGAGTCTGCCCAATATGACGGATGTTCTAATAAACCTTGTCTTTGGCTGAAAGGAGGCTTGGGTCAAATTCTTTCGGGCAGGATCCACGTGTTGTGATTTTGGGGTCCCAGCAACCCTAAATCCCTGAACCTCAACAAGAATAACTTTTGTTGCTAATTTTGTTGAGATTACATTATTAAATTCACTTTCCTGAACACAGGCTCAGGTTTCCCTTCCATAAAAGTTTAAAAACAAAATCAAATAGAATATTTTTCATATAGACATGCAGGCAAAAAAAAATAATAACTGAGTTAACCCAATGCAGAAAATATATAAGTGAACACCCTATTCTTTTTCTAATGGTTACAGGGTAGTTTTAGGTCCTAGGACAGTACCCTTTCTATTCAACTCTCAATTAGCCAGGATTGAGGGTAAAGGGTGTTTTATGTGGTTTTGTAAAAAGCCAGCTCAAGATTAAGGCAATATAAACATCAAAGCTAGTGAAGGTGATAAGATGTAAAAAGAAGATCCTGATCAGAGGGAAAGTACATAGCTACAATCTCAAACAGCTACCACAGTGATCTCAAAGACCAGGAGATTAATAAGTGGTAAATAAATTCTCAGTCTACCCATCAAACAAAGTTTTCAGAGACAGCATAAGAAGTGAGAGCTGGCCTCAGAGCCAAGAAAGCTTGAATTCCAGTCCCACTTCTGACACCTACTAGCTGTGTGACCCTGGGCAAGTCACTTAAACTGTCAATGTTCTGGGAAAATTTGACCTTGATGAGTTGTCAACCTCAATAGAGGGAGTTTCTTCATCTGTGAGTTTCCAGTACAGATGAAATCAGAAGTCCATTCCCTATTCTTATCAACTTTAATGATACTTGCTCAAGGTCAAAATCAGTTGTTTCAAACAGTAGAGTGCATTTTTACATACAGACAAATGATATAAATGATGGTTAAACTCTCAGGTCAACCCAAAGAAGTCTACTTATAATGTAAAAAAGGTGTTGTACTGTCGTGTGTACACACACACACACACACACACACACACACACACAGTACTATAGTAATGCAGAACCTAAGCACCATAGGTAACAATGTTTCTATGGGAAAATGCATTTAGTGTTTCAGTTGTAGATAACAGAAAAGTATTTTTGGCCCCTTCACCTCCCAAAGAACAGAAAATCCCCCTATTTCACTACCCCAGTGACTCCTCCATGATTTAGATAAGGGCAAAGCTACATAAGAGTGAAGTGTAGAGGGAGAGTCTATGGAAGCTACTTCTTTCTCATCCCCCTTGCCACCTCCAATACACCCACCCTCTGCAGTCCCTACCCCTGAAGCAGACCTGGCCTGAGGGTGTCTCAGATTCCATAAACTTAAACTGGCATGGGAAAGAGAGTAATGGGAAGGTAAGTATGGCCTGCCAGTAAAAACTGGAGAGTTGAGGTATTCCCAGTATGATACAGCCACAGTTCCTGGCACTTAGTAGGTCAATAGGCATGCTTAATAAATGTTGATTGAGTGAATTGCTTATCTGTACTTCTTGGTAACAAAAGAGGATTGGAAAAGAGCAAGGGCATATAGTAAATGAGAGCAATTTTTTTAAAAGTATCTGTAAGACTTGTTTTTTGTAAAGGAGAGTGACTGCCCTGTCCCAATCGGGGCAGCAGCAATAATTTTCATATGCATAATTTGGGACCTGTCTATATGCCTTGCTACATTCATTGCCACACACACAACTGTAAAACTGAGAAAGAAAGGAGTGGAAAAACTCAGAGAAAAATCCTCTATTTGACAAAAACTTAAAAGCACTTGGATTCTCTGCTTTTATTACATTAACTGTATGAATAGAAATGAATGCCTGATTTAGGGTATTCCCATATATGCAGTATTTCACTATGAAACAATTCAGTAGATTAATTCCATCCAGCTCAATCTATGACGGAATAAAACGTTCCTAAAAGTTGACAGATCGTCTCCACTTTACACATTCATTTACGACATTAATGTTAATTCTCTACATCTTGTCACCTGGACTCACTCCACTATATTTTAAATTAAAAAGGAAAAAAAAGCTGGAACTTAGAACGGTCATAACCTGTGATGACAAATCCAAAACGTAAGGGTGTTCTCATAAAATGCCTCATAAAGATACTTATCACCCTATACCTACCCACATCAGATAACAGCAGACCAGGACATCGATTAAGGAAACAAGGGCGCCTATCATAACGCATGGTTTTTGTTTTTTAAAGAGGATACCTCTTTCAGAGGTTGCCTTATTTATTGCCACATCATCCTAAACTAAAAGTTCTCCTTTGAAGACAGGAAGAAGCAGACATCCTTTTGCACCCCCTTCCTGCCTCAAAGCTGGGTAAACAAAGGCACATGGCAAATGAGAAGCCGGCCTGATCAACTACAGGGATCAACTACAGGTGCGAGGGCTCATCTCACTCTCGCCTTAAGCAGCCCCCGGGAGGGACGGCGGGAAGCACGCCTCACGGACCCGCACAGGCCACCTGAGGGAAGCCTGCAGACGCTGGACTTTACCCTGGCCAACCTCGCCTGCTCCGACAGTGCCCACCGACGCGCGGAGCTCGGAGGTCTTGGCTTCCCTCCCCGTGGCCCTCCCGACGGGACTGTGTACCGTGCCGAAGGGCCGCGCTCCGGCGGGACCACTCCGAGCGGCGTGGCGCCCCGGCGCGCGTGGAAGGACCGCGCGGGCCGGGGACTGAGTGCATCAGTGCTCGTAGTCCACCTGCAGCGGGGCCGTGCCCTGCGGTAACCACCCTCGCCCCACTGCCCCTCGGCCAAGCCGCGCCCACGTCACCTGGACCAGGGTCACTGCGTTTCGCAGGGCTGTCTGCTCCTGGGCCCGCGCCTCCCCTGAGCCGCAAGCAGGCGCCGAGCTCCGAGCCACCACCGCCGCCGCCACCGGGAGGAGCCCGAAGCGCTGCGGCCGCTGCGCCACGACTGCGGGTTCGGGTTACCGCAGAGCGACTCCTTAAAGGGGCCGCCCCCGCCGCCGCCGCTCCCGAGCCCCTGGGCGGTCGCCAGCCCCCGGACAGCTCCCCTCCCCACAGGGGGCCCGGCGCAATGGGGCCCCCTCGCGTGCGGCCGACCAGCAGCCGGGCCGGGCCGGGCCGGGGTGGAGCGGGGCGGGGCAGGCACCCCCACTGCCCTGATCCGGGCAAGGGCAGGGGCGGCACGCTCCTGGCCACGTGGCGAACCCAGGACCGCCCTGAGTCCGGGACACGTGGAAGCCTCAAAACTGGTCTGGAGGGTTCCGCGAGGATGCTCCACAACCGAGTTTGGGAGGTAGGATGCCCCAAGGTGCATTATCATAGCGTGGCAAATGGAGAGACTTGATGTATACGTGTGTATACACACATATTTACACAGTACACATATATACACAAATACACATTATATACACATATATTATCTATAAACCTATGTGTCATACACACGTGTCTACACGTGTGTGCATATATGTGCATGCATATATTTTATATACATGTATTTTATGTACACCCATATATTTACACCCATGCACACCTACATATATGTTTTTGTTATGCGGTGGTTTCAAGTCCTGCCGACTCTTCTGACTCCAATTGGGGTTTTCCTGGCAAAGATACTGAAGTGGTTTGCCATTTCCTTCTCCAGCTCATTTTTACAGATGAGGAACTGAGGCAAACACGGTTAAAACCAAGGTCACACAGCTAATAAGTGTGTGAGACCAAATTTGAACTCAGGAAGATGAGTCTTCCTGACTTCAGATCCAGAATTCTATCCACTGCCACCTAGCTGCCCACACATATATACATATGTGCACATATATTCACATGCATCTAATTATACCTATTTTTACATATACACTGTATGAATGTGCATTGTGCAAACACATACACATGTGTCTACACATTCTGTGTATAACATGTTATATACGTGTGCACGTGTATAGATTGCCATACATACTTGCATATTATAGATTGTAGGTACATATGCATGTATATACATATGCCTATATACACAGGCATATATGTATATATATCTTTTCATACATATGTGTGTACAAGGATGTGTGTATGAGGATTTCTATTCCATATGTTAAATAAAGAATACTTTAATATAAGAATACAGTAACAGTTTCACATGTTTGTGACCAAAATTTTCCTAAATTCCCATTCCCATGCAAAGGATTTAAAAGGAGGAATTTCTTACTCTCCCCTGGCTCTAGTGAGGTGATCACATATAATTTACAAGCGTTCACCCTTCTTTAGCACAGTCAGTTCAAATACTTCAAATCCTTGGCAAGTAGATTCTGGTTTCGCATTGCTGACTTACATGTGGACACATACAAATACAGAGTTGACAAATCTTTATCTACGAAAATTTACTCACCACTTTCTTGAAACCTTCACTAATATGACCCACCCACCCCCCCAGCAGCTAAAAGTTTTCCTTCATTCAGATTTTCCTAGTGTACTTGGGGTTTTTCTTTGTCAAACCACCCATAACTTACTCTTTATTTGTTAACCTCCCATTCCCCCAAAGGTGAATGTTACTTCCTGGAGGACAGAGTCAATGTCATCTGATCTTTGTATCTCCAACACCACACACAGTGACCTGCACAAATTAGGAATTTAGTAAATTCATGTTCATTGGTCAGAGGTAAGAAAAATAAGCACGATTTGTAAATCATGTTCTATAAAGTTGCAGAATTAAAGGTCAACAAGCTGTCTCAGTATATTACAATCATACACGATTTCTTGAAAAACACAATGATCTTTGTTCAAGCACTTCATTCTTTAAAAAAAACACAAATTTATTACTTATTTTTAACATTCTTTTCAAGTTTTGAGTTCCAAATTCTCTCCCTCCCTCCCATTCTTCCCTCACCACCGAGAAGGCAAGCAAATGATATCAACTATACATGTAAAATCATGCAAAACCTATTTCCATTTTAGTCATATAGCAAAAAGAAAGAAAGAAAAGAAAGAAATTGAGAAAATTATACTTGCATTCAGAGTTCATCAGTTCTCTCTGGAGGTGGATAGCATTTTTTTCATTATGAAGTGATGGAATGAGATGACTGGAATTGTCTTAGATCCTTGAATTGATCAGAGTGGCCAAGGGTTTCTCAGTTGATCAGAATTACAATATCACTGTGCAAAATGATCTCCTGGTTCTTCTCACTTCACTTTTCATCAACTCATAAGGGTCTTGTCATCTTTTTTTTTTCTGAAACCACCCCCCTCATCATTTCTTATAGTGCAATAGTGCTATAATTCACAATGTATAAATATATAATATATAATATAAATCACAATCATATGCCACACCTTGTTCAGTCATTCCCCATTTGATGAGCATCCCCTCAATTTCCAATTTTTTTGCCACCACATAAAGAACAGCTGTAAATATTTTTTAACATATAGGTCATTTTTCTTTGGTCTCTTTGGGGTATAGACCTGGTAGTGATATTGCTGTATCAAAGATCATGCACAGTTTGATAGACCTGTGGGCATAGTTCCAAATTGTCCTCCAGAATGGTTGAACCAGTTCACAATTCCGCCAACGGTTTGTTATCTATTTTCCCTTATCCCCTCCAGCATTTGTCATTTCTAATAGGTATGAAGTGGTACCTCAGAGTTGTTTTAATTTGCATTACTCTAACTAATAGTGATTTAGGTGGGTTTTTTTTTCACATGACTATAGAGAGCTTTGATTTCTTCTTCTGAAAACTGCCTGGGGAAAAGGCTCTTATTTTTATAAATTTGACTCAGTTCCCTATATATTTGAGAAATATGGCTTTTATCAGAGAAATTAGCTGTAAATATTTTTATATTGCTTGATTGTCTATGAGACTTTTTAGCAAAATGTAGTTTCTCTGATCATCTCTTTTAATTAGGCCTTTTTTTTTTGTTTTGCTTTGTCTGAGAGTATCATTGCCACTCTTGCCTTTTTTACTTAAGCAAAAGCATAATAGATTCTACTCCAGCCCTTTCTTTTAACTCTGTGTGTGTGTGTTTGTTTCAAATGTGTCTTTTGTAAACAGCATATTACTAGATTTTGGTTTCTAACCCATTCTGCTATTCATTTTATGGGTGAGCTTATCCCATTCATATTTACAATTATGATTACTATGTATTTCCCTCCACCATATTTTCTTCTATTTATCCTTTTCTCTCTCTCTTTTTATCTTGTTCCTCTTCAAAAGTCTGTTTTGCTTCTGTTTACTGCTTCCCTCAATCCACCCTCCCTTTCATCACACATACATACATATTGCATATCCCCTTCCCCTCCTATTTCCCTATTGGTAAGATAAGATTTTTTTTTTTTTGGCAATTGGGGTTAAGTGACTTGCCTAGGGTCACACAGCTAGTAAGTGTCAAGTGTTTGGTCTGAGGTCACATTTGAACTCAGGTCCTCCTGACTTCAGGGCCGGTCCTCTATCCACTGCGCCACCTAGGTGCCCCACCAATTTTTGCTTTTTAAGGAGTTTTTTCCTTCAGTGAATTGTCATACCTCCTTTTCCATTTGGCCTATTCTGTTTTTTAAGGTGTCATTTTCTTCAGTATTTTTGTGCCTCTTTTACCAAGCTGTTAATTCTTTTTTTCATAATTGTCTTGCATTACTCTGATTTCTTTTCCCAAGTTTTCCTCTTCCACTTTTATCTCTTTCTTTAACTTTCCAAGAATTCTTGTTGGACTTGAGTCCAATTAGTATTTTTTCTTTGAGCCTTTGCTTATAGCTATTTTTACAGTGTCATCTTCTTTTGAGTTTATGCTTTGGTCTTTCCTGCCAAAATAGCAGCTTTTTATGGTTATTATTTTTTTCCTCATTTTTCCAGCCTATTTCTTCACTTTAAACTTTACATTAAAGTTGGACTCTGCTCATGTGGGGGTGGAGAGATACTGTCCCAAGTTTCAGCTTTCTTTTACTGTTGTTTTCAGAGCTTCTTCTGGGCATCTGCAAGTTTTCATTGCTTCCAAACTGATGTAGCCCAGGGATAGGCATGGTCACTGCTCTCCTGGTCTGCTCTCCGATCTTTACCCAGGAAGAGCCCCTTCTCCCCTGCTGCTACAACTGCTAATACTCCTTTTGGCCTTGGAACTGTGACCAGGGCCCATGCTTCCTTGTGACCAATGGGAATTGTGACCCAGAACTGCTTGTGGGAAGTAGAGTTGCCAATCGGTGCTGGGCCCTGTACCCAGTGCCAGCAAAGGATTTCCTGTAATCTCCTTCCGACCAATTTTCTGACCCTCTTCCTTACCATCTCTGGGCTGAGAGTTGCCAAAGCTGCTGCTGCCTCTGTTAAGCCTGCCTCCAAGGCCTGCTGCTAGTGCTGCTGATGTGCTCTGGGCTGGCCCCCACACTGGTGTAACAGACCTCTCCTGCTGACCTCCTAAATTGTGTTAGGCTGGAAAAATATCTCACTCAGACCTCTTGTTGACTTTGCTATTGCAGAATTTGATTTGAGGAGCTATGTTAAAATTGTATGGAGGGGAACACTGGGAGAGTTCAGCTGGGCTGCTGTCTGTATTCCACCATCTTGGCTCTACCCACTGACTTCCTCATTCTTAATATAAAGCAAAGCATAAACTGAGCCAAAGACGCAGCTGTCTGAGAAGTTCTGGTGAAGGATCCAAATGCTGGAGAGGTTCTTTATGGATCTAGAGCTAACAGAACCTCAAAGGCCATCTATTCTAATTTCTTCTTGTTACAGAGAAGGAGACGTACACCAGAAAGGTTATATGATGTGTCTTGCCATTACAGGTTGTATTTGAACCCAGTTCTTTGGCCTCCAGAGGCAATATTCTCCTCACTATACCACACTGCCTCCCTAGTAAGATCCCCCATATATTTCTGTTTGTAAATTACATTGTGCCCATTGTATCAAGGCTC